CTCGCGTTTAGATACCAGAGCGAGAGAGAGAGAGAGAGAGAGAGAGAGAGAGAAAGAGAGAGAGACGCATAGACACGCGCACGCATAACGACCACGAGAAAAGATCTCTCATCGTCAGTCTGTCGATGTCTCTTACATATTGTATTTACAAGCTCTAACGATTGTACAGACGCGAATATAACGATGCCAAACATTACATGTTATTATTAATCGCTATTATTATTATTAATTAATTAATTAATTAATTAACTGATTATTATTACCATTATTAAAAAAAAAATTATACGAGCCTTTTCATATTACGTTGCGACGGTCTTTCCTTTTCTTTTTTGGTACTTTTCATTCCTGTTTTCTGCTTTTTGTTTTTCGATATTTCTTTGCCACGATGTTTCCTGGGGTTGCTGTGTCGCCTTTGAAGGGTAGGCGACTGTCATTCGGGACCTGGTGGGGAGGAGTCATTGAGAATGAGAAAGAGCCTATGGGAATCCGTGGGGCCATTGGTCGTATAAATTCGACGGTTTTAATCAGCGTTCGTTAACCCACTGGGATGGCAACCCCTATGCTCGGGGATGAGGTGCGCGGGATTACGAGGGTCTATGTTTGCTGAGGAGGAGTGAGATTGGGTGGGGGGTGGTTTGAAATTCGATGGGGATCCCGTGGCTGAGCTTCAGGGTGGTAGGCTGGGGATAGGCCCTGCAGGGGTGGCCCACGGTCCGAGGGTGAGTTTGTAAATTGCTAATGATCGTTCGGATTCCTCTGCTTCCAGTCGTCCCAGTGGCACTACAGTCACCCCCTTGGGCCTGGTAGGGTCCATTTTTTTTCTTTTTGTCTCGTCTGTGCTTATTGCGAGTTTACCTGTGCACGTGGGTTATGTATGTATGTAGACGTCACACCCCTTGTGCAAAGTTTCAGGATCGAACTCTGCTAGCCCCTACGACTGCAACCCCCTTTACTGCTAGGGAGCTCGAGTATTCTTCACGGGAGACGAGAGGCGTACATAGGATTCATACATAAAAATTCTTGTGCAATATTTCTCCTTGAAATTCACTGAGAGTTGTTGGTGAGAGTCGCTAGAGGAAAAGGGGTGAATATTTTTCTTTAATTTTATGCACAACGGACGAACGTGGCTTTGCTTTTGTTGTTCTTTTTTCTTAATAATTATTTGTGCTCTCAGACATCGGCGACAGTGTCTTGTCAATCGTCCATAGCATCGCGAATCATCCCTCTGCAATTTTGAAACTACGTTATCGCTCATTAATCTCACCATTTTTGTTTCTGTTTTCACGTAAGACCCCTTTTTCAAGGCCTTCCATCCAATCCCCTCGCTTATAAACCGATGATAAGCCCTTCCTGGTACAGTAGAGGAGGAGAGAATGGAAGTGAGAGGGTTGCTTCGTACTGGAATAACGATAATGGAAAAGCACCAAGGGTGTTTTCCCTTTAAACCGATATGTTCATATCCCATACCTTGGATTCCGGTTACATCCGCTTTACTAGTCGGGTAAAATGTCCTACTGTACCGTCTGCGCGTGCGTACATGCCAAATACGTTACTCGATCTGCTTTAAGGGTTACGGGTGCATTCTGGAACAATAATTTGTACAGTTTTCTTTTGTATAGCAATTAATTTTCATCACTTGACATACTACTGTTCTATGCCAACGATGCAGTGAAGTTTGTTAATCAACAAGAATTCTAACCTACAAAAACAGTGTATATGAAAGCCTCAGTTTAATTGACAAACTTGTACGAGACTGTGAAAAAGTTTTGCGTACAGAGTCACGTTTTAATCATGCAGGCGCACCGTGTATAGTGATTAAGAGCTGATTATGATAACAGAACGAAAGAGAGAGAGAGAGAGAAAGGAAGATAAAAATGAAATGGATGTACCTTGACTTTCTCGGAGAAGCGTCATCGAGTGTTTTACATCTCGGAGTCATTTAGTTATTAGCCCTACGTGTAATTAGTTACCGATAATTAGGTCGATGTTGACGCTTTGTGAGTGGTGTGCTGGCATTTAACGAAATTCTACATACGTGTACACACATGGCATCTATTGAATATATACGGTATATTTACACATGTATTATTATCCCTGAAGGTAATCCGATAGGGAAAGAACGGGATTTATAAGGGACGAGCTGAAAAATTGTTAATTCGTTTTAACTTGTCCTGTTCTCTCCTACAGTTCTTCACCTTGCTACTCTTTTATCTTCGGAACGGTTTCACGGGTCATCGATATATTATCGATTTAAAATTCGATAATGCGATTAACGTAGTCGTAATTGTGTCGTGAGCGATTATCATTCTTTATCGAATTCAAATTTTACCTTTTCACGCTTACGGTTGATTTCAATTATCAAGATACTTTTTTATGCTAAAATCTTGACGATCATAACGCGAGTATATTATTATTAAGTGATTAACTCGTTAATTAAAAGCGGATGATACAACGAGTGTCAAAAGTGTGTGTTGACGATCATAGCCAACGGACATGGCAGAATGTAGCGTACGTTAAAATGCCAAGACGTAGAATCGACAGGGTTGAATTAAAGTAAAAGCTGTTTTTGCTTGTTCGAGAGAAAGCAAATACTGGAGACGAAGTAGTATAATCGAATTATTATAAGAAATTGTCGTTGTCGTAATTGGGCATTGGCACGGGATTAGCCATTGTTTTCCGTAAAAGCCGTGCGCATACGCAGTCGTGTTATTGCTTCGTGAGGAAAACTTTAAATTGTCTCCAGTGAAGTCTTTGTATAATAAAAATTTTAAAATACCAAGGAAACATTACAGGAGTGTAACAAATACGAAATTACAAAGAAGCGAAGAAAAAGTAAAAAGGTAAATGATTCGAGAGAACGTGATATATATAATATATATGTGTGTATATCGGAATAAAATGTACAAAAAGCAATATCTTCTATATAAATATATTATACATACACACGCATATACATAAATATATATATATCTATTTCCAACTCTTAAAATCGTTATTACGTATCTATAGCTATATCCGCCACTTGACTTGTATATTTCGCTAGATTTGTCTCGTTTGTACATAAATACAACACGTATTGCCCAATTCCAGTCGCATTTTAGCGTTAACATATTTATGAAAGAAAAAAAAACGCTAAAAACTCATTCCACTCGCCCAATGGAAAATGTGTCTTATTCACGTGAGAGCCGGGGAAGAAAAAAAAAGATGGAATCATCATCGTTGTCATAAATATCGCTGGGTTGTTCAGTGCTTCTTCACTTTTTATTAGACGCTGCACGTGTAATCCACCGTCCTTGAACGCGGCCTTTTCTCCCTTTTCCTTCATCTGCGAGAATGCACGTGATCTCTGGAGGAGAAAGAAGAAGAAACGTTTGAAAGCAAAGAGAAATAGATTTGTGATGAAGAAATACAGTTCTGAGCGCACTAATCATATAAGGTGGCAATCGGTGTACAAATTAAAGTAGAGAAATCTCTGAATTTCTTTTTGTTGAAAACGAATATAAAATACTTACGAATACGCGATGCTCCACTCAATCAAAAAACAATTTTCATATTTGCCGCGCTTGTATTATTAAAAAAAAAGACGTGGAATTTTATGACTAATTTTGTTTTAATTTTTTTCACTTTTTACTCCTCGTCATTCTCAATAATTGCTTGAGAATACGTAAAGTTTCATGCAGAATATTTGAAATGGTTATTATTATTATCTTGTATATTCACTCGTATTTGCTACGTATGGCGTATACGAATAAAAATTCAGTATGTCTATGATACAGGTTGTGCTTTGGTCTTTTTTATTTTTATTTTTTTTTTAATTTAAGGAACGTTCTCGCGTACTTGGTGGAGGTTTCTTCTTTTTGCTTTTCTTTTTTTTTTTTGACGAAATTTATTTCTATTTATCCGTTTCAGGAGTATCGTACATGTTATATTTAATGTCTTACGTGTATAATATGATACAACTTTTTCTTGAATACAGTACACGATTTAATACACGTATAGTCATCTTTGTGTTAATGAGTTGATGGTGTGTTTGTGGATGCGATTGGTTAAAAAAACAATTTTAATCGATACTTTAATAACAATAAGTGTAATTTGGAATTGGGCTTTCTTCAATTTTGGGAATGTGTGTTTTCATCGGCAATGAACAATGAAACAATTATTGGTTGAGATAAGTACATCAGTACATCAGGATAAAATAACAAATAATTGTAAGTTTAGTATAAATAAAAAAAAGGACATAACAAACTGCTTTATCGGCGTAATAGGCCGTTTTAAATAGAACAACAAAATATATCGTTTCTAAAAGTTGAGAAAAGGTCTCGCAAATTACATGAATTGCGATATAAATGAACGCAAGAAGGGCAATGTTCTTGTTGCAAATATTATGGCCTATCAAATAACACGCACCGAGCACCATTTTGATAAAATAATATTTTTGACTAGATACGTCAAGAGTGTAAATTCGAATTTTATATCGTTAATGGATTGGCTCTGTTTTTCGTAATATGTTTAGCGAAAAGAGGCAAGAGAAGAAAAAAAAACATGAAAAAAAAATAATGTACAATATAACAAGTGGCATGAGTGCTATGACAACAAGGTTGTGAAGATGACGTTATGACTTCATTATTATGAGGTTCCACTGCTTCCCGAGGCTTGCAAATACGTAAGTACAATTTCCTAGCACCAGAATTAGGAATATTTGTGGCCTATATATGTTAATCCCTGGTTAACTGAACCTTTGCCATATTCGCCAATATCTATGGCTTGTTATTTTTTACGTTGATTATTCTGCATAGTTAATCTCGCGATTTCTTCGCCGAGAGTATCAATGTTATCCTGTTGAAAAAGAAAAGAAACATTTATCATCACATTCTCTTGTTTTTGGTATTAACAGTTTTACTTATCTTAACAACAATTTACCTTCAGCGTTATATTTTTCAGCAATGTATCTTCCAAAACTGTTTGCAGTTTCTGATTTATTTCTAGGGAGAGCTCCAGCGTCATATTATCATCAGAGACTCGGTGATTGTACACGGAGGCCATAATACCGCCGTGTCTCGCTAGTTCAGCCTATTTGAATAGATAAAATATTCCATAAAATTAGTATTAATTATGCTTGTTCCGATTATAAGTATTGCTTCATGAATAATGAACACAATAAATGTAACTCTCTATGGAAACTTACAGCGTTTCGTCTACTCTTGAGATGCTTGTGTATAAAAAGTACAAATAATTATCTAGTTACACACTAGTAATTAATATCAAATATTAGGTTTATGTAATTATAAATAATTTATATTTAACCTTATTTCTGTCCCTTTCGTTACTGCCCATTGCATCAAAGTTCTCGTGCAAAATATAATTCTGTATTATTTTTGTTTTCTTCTGCAACTCCTCGACCAGGGTACGCGTGTGCTCTTCAAGGAAATCCAATTTCTCAGCACGTCTCACGTTAATTTTCTGTAGTTTTACAATTCTGTCTATCAATGTCTGTCTGTCCGGTTCACCAGTTTGTAACGTATGATCTCCACCAATACTGTTATCAGACAAAGCACCATTTAACGTATCTCCTATGTTCAAGGAGGTACTAGAGCCTGTTCTTGATGCAGGGTCTAACGAACTGCTAGGGGATGCAGTCTCAAACGCTTCTAGTCTCTTTCGACAGTGCTGTAATTCCCTAGTCATCTCCTTTAACGAGATCTGCTGTTTCCTTCTAAGTACAGCGTTTTCTCCTTGGCTGTCTTCCAACTTCTGTGTGAGGTTACGAGCCAGTTGAGTTTGCTCGGCTACATGTTTTGCCAGGAGTTCGCATTCCTCAATTCTTTTACTTCGCTCTTGAGCTAAACTCTCCTCCAGCTTCTTCACCTTTGTAGACAGTTCTTCTATGTGCTCACGCAGAGGACCTTGTTCAGATTCAAGCTGCTGCGCCTTGGCTTCTATCGATGTAAATTCTGATTGAAGTCTCACATTCTTGTCTGTTAGCTTTTGCGTAAAATCTAGCATATGAGCTTCGCGTTGTCTACACGACTCCATGTCACTTTGAAGTTCTTCGTTTGCCTGACGTAGCCTCTGAACTTCAGTTTCGTTCGATGATAAACACTGCTCCGTACTGAGAAAGAAGATAATCAGGTTTACATAGTGTCCAGTTTATTGAACACTGATTATTTACCATAAATTAATACTCACTGTATTAACTGTAATTTTAATGTTTCCAGTTGAGATACTTTCCCAACCAAGTCCACAATTTCTTTCTGACGTTGATCCGCTATTATCTTGAGATTACTCAGATTACTCTCATAGCTAAGCCGATTCTTTTCCAACTCTTGAACTTTTAAGCTGAGAGTGTTGTTCTCTTCTATAAGCACCTGTTGTCTCTGTTTCAGAAGGTCGACTTCCTTTTGCAATTGCATTCGTGACATCTCCTTGTCCTCTGTTACGTGGCGTTCTAAGATTAGCCGTGCTTGTTGTTCTTTCAATTGTTGGTCCAGAGTGACTGCTTTGTTCTCCTCTGACTGTTGGAATCTGCGCATGGTTTCTTGTGTCTCACGACGCACCTGATCACATTCTTCTTTCATATCGTTAATCCTTATCTGGATAAATATTATAAGGAGCATCATTAGTTATCGTACTCTTAATTGTCATTAGAAAATATTCAAGATTGCGAGAATTTCCTTACCAAAGCTTTGTCTAGCTTTTGCTGGGTCTCCTTTCTAGCTTCCATTTCAGTCTTTAGTTTGTTTTGCGTCCATTTCAATTTCACATCTTTTACATTTACCTCTTCCTTCAGTCTTTCCACCTCCTTTTGGGCGTCCGTCAAATCGTGACATTTTGCATCAAGAATGTTACATATCCTTGTACGTTCACCCTGAATTTGTTTCACTTTGTTCTGAAGAAGCTCCTGCTCTTTCAACATTTCTTTAAGTTTACGTTCTGCATAATCCCTAGCCCTGTTGAAAAGGTACCATTATTAATAGCATCATTGATAACTCAATAAAACTACGAGACCTTTAATTATTAGCAGTATGTATTACCGTTGAGCATCTATCAATTGCTTCTCGCTGACTGCATATTTCATTACCATACTTTCACGTTCCTTATTTGCAGCTGTATATTCTTTACTTAGAGTCTCCTGCTTAGTTGTTGCTTCTTTCATTTCATGCCTCAGATGTTCAATCGTCTTTTCTAAGGTTTCGATTTGGATGGCGTACAATTCACCATTTTTTTCAGCTGCTAGACGTTTGTTTTCTTTTTCTAATACTTCAGTTTTATCTGATAACTTCTGATTATAATCTTTTACACTAGCATAATCCCTCAAAAGGGTCAGGTACACAGGATGATTTAGTAAGCCGTTTTTTGGACTATTTGAGATATTAGAATCTAGAGACTCCCTTGGACTTGAAGCATTTATTTCAGAAGTTTCGTTAGGGTTAATTTCTGAAGTTTCTGGACTTGCGTTTGTCAAAACATCATCTGCAGTCCTCAAAACTATTCCACTATTGGCATTGTTACTGTCCATCTTAATGTTTTCAAATTTTGTCAAATCGAGTACATGGAATATCGTTTCTGGTCTTTCCTCTTCCATATTATCTACTCTTTGGAAATCAGATATATTCTTGTTCATTGGCATATTTTTAATCAAAGTTTCAGCAACAAAAGCTTTTTGTCCAGTGTCATATCTAAGATTCTCAGGACTTGTACATTCTGAAGGTGAACTATTTTCATTTTGACTATCATTATGCATTAGGTTTTGTTCAGGGATTTTTTCTGCATATTCAATTTCGTTAATAATTTCTGACATTGGAGTTGATTCTTGTAGTTCTTTCTTGTCTGCGACATATCCTGTGTCTGTTAATTTCATAACGGTATTATAACGTACAGCCAAATGTTGTGGGAGTAATGTCTTTTCCATGATATTTGTTGACTTTTCAGTAATAAAGTTTAAGAAGTTGCGGCTGCGGTTAAGAAATTGCGCATTGGACTGCATTAAGTTTATGGGATTTCCAGGCAAAGACATTTTCACAAGCTTAGAATCATCTGCCAACGTAGGTCTTGCCTTAACGAGGGATTGAACACGTTTTGAGGATTCATCATTTTCTTCTGACGATTGCTTAGTCAATATATGACCAATATCTATTGCTTGATGCTCACAAGGTTCTACATTCGTATTCATAATTGAAGTTGAAGACTGGCTGCTTTCTGCCTCTTTCTCCAAAGGTGTCAAACTTTCCAATAAACTGGAGCTTGATGACAGAGCACTAGGAGAAGTTTTGAATTTTGTGAATTCATCAATTTCATTGGAAGACACAGCTTCAGCAATAGTTATGACACTTTTCAAATCTTGAATCTCATTAGAACCATTAGTAGCAACAGCAACTTTTGGTGAAGAAGCTCCTGATTTTATTGTAGAATCAATACTTATGTCATTCGAACAGTCAATACTTTCATGACCCTTTTTAATTTTTGACGATATTGGTTCTTCTTCCACAACAGTGTTTTTAATGGCAACCATATGCTCCGATGTACTGTCATCTAAGGATTATAATCAATAAAGATTAATAAAATCCTACAAAGAGAAAATAATCTAAAATCTGTCTTCTGTGATTAACAAAAATTGAAAAAATTATATTACAACAGGTGTTGACTTATCATAAGCTGCAGATAATTGGGTCATCATTGAGACTCGCAAAAAAAATATTGATTCTTGAAAACTAGTACTTATATAACTAAAATATATCATTACCTGAACAAGTTTGTAAGGATTTTTCAAAATCCTCGGTGGAATTGTTAAAAGTTCCTAATTGTTCTTCATCCATGTCAAAGAAGAAATTTGTATTTTGTTGTACAAATCAGCTTTGGGTCATTTTTCACTAGTTTTACATTTTATTTCGAGCACTCAACATGTAAACATATTTTCGAATACTTTGAAGAAAGACGAGGCTTATTTTACAGAAAAATTAAATAAAAACGCGATAGAAATAACCTGAAATCTGCCATCCGTCATCAGCACTTGACGCACAGACCACTTGACGCACACTCAGTCGCACAAACCAACAGCTGATTTTACTGCAATTTACATTTACCATTTGGTGGTGAAGTAGATTAATTTCAGTGAAACAGTGAGTGATCGTCACAAAAAAATATGTCTCATAACATTATAAACAATATTAACAGAGTGTCTAAGCTATTCCAGCCTATTAATACTCTCCCAAAAGATGCTGTTATCAAATCGGGTGTTGCTTCAAAAAGTTATAATGTAAGTAGTGTAATTAATTTTTTTTCATTTAGAGGCTACAGTAGACTATATTTTCTTTTTAATTGTCTGTTAAATTGTTAAATCTGTTTCATTAGTTTTTTCAGTATGTTTTTATTTTTAGCTTATGCTCGATATGGGTATCATACGGCAAGTCAACAGTGGTATGTATTCGTTGCTACCATTGGGTCTACGGGTTCTTCAAAAACTGGAGGCACTGGTTGATAGTGAAATGACTAAAGCTGGAGCGCAGAAGATGTTACTTCCTATTTTAACATCAGCAACACTTTGGAACAGATCAGGAAGATTAAAAACTATTGGTTCAGAATTGTTTACAGTTGAAGACAGACATAAGAAACTATATGTTTTGAATCCTGTAATAATTTTTTTTTTAATAATTATTAACAGTCCTAAATGCATATCTCATTCATATAAGTTCCTTTTCTTACAGACATATGAAGAAGCAATATGCGAACTATTAGCTGGCATAATTCCTATAACGTCCAAGGATTTGCCTTTGAAGCTCTATCAAATCTCCAGAAAATGGAGAGATGAAATGAAACCACGTCTTGGTCTACTACGTGGTCGAGAATTTGTTATGAAGGATTTATATACATTTGATACAAATTTAGAAAATGCTCAAAACACATATAATAAAATTTGTGAGAGTTATGACAGTCTGTTCAAGCAAATTGGTGTTGACTATGTGAAAGGTGTAAATATAATTATTTTACATTTACATTATTGCAAAATAAAATGATCTAATCTATATATGTAAATATATTTTTTTTTTCAGTAATCGGTGCTGCGGGAATAATAGGTGGGAGTTTATCTCATGAATACCATTATTTATCAGATATTGGGGAAGATACCGTTCTTCTCTGTCAATCGTGTGGATATTCTGTTAATTCTGAGGTATTGAATCTATCATCTTGCTTAAAATGCAACAATAATTTATCTTCACACTCTGCTATCGAGGTACAAACAAATAAATTCTTATCAAGATTATATGCAATATATCTGCAAAGAGTATTAGAAACAATTAGGAATAACTGTTTACCATAGGTAGGCCATACGTTTCTCTTAGATACAAAATACTCAAAACCATTGAACGCAACATTTCTGGATGGACCAAAACCAAAACCGTTAGTAATGGGTTGTTTTGGTCTTGGATTAACACGCATAATAGCAGCTGTGGTAGAAATTTTATCTACCAACGAAGTTCTTCGTTGGCCTAATAATTTAGCACCGTTCAACGTTTGCATTTTAACACCAAAGGTAAATTCATACTAAAACAAAAAAAACAGATTTAGTAACAAACAATTATTTTCTTTTCTTAACAGAAAGGTAGTAAAGAAGAAATTGCAGCACCATACGCAGAACAAATATTCGGCATCTTAAATGAATTAAACGTTGATACTATCATTGACGATAGAATTCATCTGACTATCGGTCGTCGAATGTTTGATGCAAATCGGACTGGTTATCCATTCATAATAGTAATTGGTAAAACAGCTTCAAACCAAAATCCGATGTTTGAAATTCACGACGTGAAAAATTCTACTCGGATTGACACAAATATTGAAGGAATAATAAATTACTTTAATAATCAAGATATTAATAGAGAGATAAAACAAAACGAGGCGGTAGTTTAAAGTAATTTAGACCAAGAAACATTATACAGGAACTTAAATGTAGCATAGTGCAAATTTGTACATAATAAATGAGAAATATGCAATAACTTTCATTTTTGAATGTTTATTTATATTTATCATACGAAAAACAATAATTTTTATTGATTTTTCAGTGTACCGTACAACATTTTATGTTTGAGTTTTAATAATACATATATCAGCGAGAACACTGTTTATCGTTTGTAGCTTTTTTATTCTCTTTTTGAATCGTTGTACAAAAAGGTGGAGTCTGATGAACTTAGGTTTATTGTCGGTAAAAGCATTTTGAGCGTCACAAGATATGTACTTATATATGATGGAAGAAGCGTATGTACATATGTATTACAAGTTATATGTATATGTGTACGTACAAATGTCCGTGGTTTTACAGGTTAAAAGGGAATTATTCCTACATACGGTTACGGACGATCAGATTTGAGATGTAAAGTGGTCGGATCGAATATAATCATAAAATAGTCCAAGTAACGTGTAGTGTACGAGTTATGTTGTTCATAGTATAATAAAGTGTTTGATTGTCAACAAAATTTAAGTTTGTCTTCGTTTCACGTTTGTGTTGACAAACTGTTGACAGATAAAAATCTAACAAAGTTCTGTAACCGGCTTGTACATAGGCTTGTACCAAAACAATTTGTGTGTGTAGAGTGCACAAGTCCAGTAGATTTTAGAGTTTTCCTATATTTCAAATTTTCAGAAGAATATTCTATAAAGACAGTACAAGATATGACATCAGCCATAGCAAAGAAAAAACATGCTAAGTACTTCCAAAGGATTCTCCAACTTGTGCCTAGCAGGCTGGCAATGTTTGACAGGAGCAGATTGACATTTGCATTCTTTGCTATATCTGGACTTGATATATTGAATTGTTTGGATGAAATGAGTCATGACGAACAACTTCAAGCCATCGAGTGGATATATAGACTTCAAGTTTCCGATAGTGGATATCGTTCAGGCTTTGAACCATCTACTACTATACCCAAGGAAGCTCCAAATTATCAGTGTGGTCATCTTGCTATGACATATACAGGATTGGCTACTTTACTTATTTTGGGTGATGACTTAAGCCGTGTCGATAGAAAGTCCTTGATAAAAGGAATATCTGCTTGCCAAAATCCTGATGGATCATTCACAGCAACAAGAGTTGGATGCGAAAGTGACATGAGGTTTTTATATTGTGCCTGTTGTGTTTCGGCAATTTTGGATGATTGGTCTGGTATTAATAAACAGAAGGCCATCGATTACATATTGAAAAGCATTGTAGGTATTACAATAGAGAAATTATTTCATTATGCATTGTAATTTACATATCTTTGTATAATATAAATGGTTTTATTCTTCTAGTCGTACGATGGAGCCATGGGTCAAGGTCCAGGACTCGAATCCCATGGAGGATCAACATTCTGTGCAGTCGCTAGTTTATTTCTTATGGGAGAGCTACACAACGTTTTATCCAAAGAACAGCTGAATCGTTTAAGGCACTGGTGTCTTATGAGACAAGACGGTGGTTTCCAAGGCAGGCCTGGAAAACCTGCAGATACCTGTTATAGTTTTTGGATTGGTGCTACCTTGCAACTGCTGGGTGTTAGTCATTTATCTGATCCTGAATGTAATAGAAAGTTTGTCCTGACAACTCAAAACACCTTAATAGGTGGTTTTGCGAAATTCGAAATTTCACAAGCAGATACGGATCCTCTGCACACATACTTGGGTATGTAAAACTGTGCACTGCAATTTTTCTTTTTAAAAATGCGTTGCCATTTTTTTATCAAGCATTCTATTATTCTAGCTCCCAATGTCAATATTTAAACAGAACAATTCCTCTCTTAGGTTTATCTGGCCTAAGTCTCTTAGGAGAAGCCGATTTACAAGCGATGAATGCCGCCCTCAACATCTCCCAAAGAGCTTACAATCGATTACAAGACATCCACAAACGATGGCGAAGCAAGTCGGAGCATTCATAACTATACAATTTTAATTAAATCATATTATTAATTATGAAACGCACATAACAGGGTAAATTGGTAGAAACAAGATCATTATCCTGTGAAAAAGTAAACCTATCGTTTTGCGGTAACGCGTTATTGATATCACGCGATAATTATATTCTACATTCGTCAATTAACGGTGAAACAAGAACACAAAAACAAAGACAGCGAATGTTTACGAATTACTTTTTTCGACAAGTTTTTAAGTCTTTTACGTTATTCGTTGAGATTTCCATATCGATCGCAGAAAACACGCGCCCGTGCCTATTCCATTAGAGATGCGATTACTGTAAGATCTAAATAAACACAAAAAATCAAGCGCAAGAATAATATTATTTAAATATAAATGATATTTCAAATTGATGGGGTTACAAAGTGCAATAGCAATCTTTTAGCTATCCAATATCAGCTAACCACATCCTCATGGTAGGACAGGCACGTCAACCGTAACAAAGTCATCTCTACAACGTGCGAACGCGCACTGAAAACCGGTCTGAGTTGTCATGTTCCCCCACTACCATGGTACCATATCCAAACGATACCATAGTAACCAGACAGGCTTGGCAGATCACAACACACGACGTTCACTCAGCCGAGGGCGACCGATGGTTCGCACAAGTGTCCTTTACGACTACGAATTTTCTGCATACCCCAGTGCAAAGTGTGTCGATTAGATTTTTCGCCAGATCCAATTTCATTAATTAGCGTTCAACAGAAAGAAAATAATGAGGACGTGAAGAGTGCTAGGTAAAAGTATCGAAATTAAAGGCAAAGTGTGCGAACTGGAATTTCACCAAGGAATCTGGGCCGCATTCGCGACCCGAAATTCATCCGAGGTTAGTATTAGAAATTTTAATTCTATCACGTCTACCAATTCAACGACCCGAGGTTAACTAGAATTTACCTTTGACCTTTGACAAATTGAGATAACGGAGAGTTTCGAACGTGCTCGTCACTCGGGGCTGTCCGATGATATCAGAGCGCGAAAGTGGAAGTCCATGAAAAGAATTATAGAGCGCAACTCAGCAAAACTCATTATCGCGCAATATCTTTATAACAATCGAATCAAAGTAAAATTGAAAAGTTCATTAGAAAATTTCGTATTACTTGAGGATACTTCCTCTTTGCTTCTTAATATGCAGGCAGATCTAGCAATAGCATTGTGCGAAAGAGGATACGTGTACACTTAATTACAACCATTAGTCATCATCGTCATCGTCATCCGGAAACTGTATCACGCTTGTAAACAGTTTCGAAAGCTTCCACAAAGTTTTCCTCATTACATTATATCCTACTGCCGATGTACGTCGTGTTAATTAGACTGGTAATATATTTAGAAGTATGTCACGCGACACCATGTCGACCTCGGCACTTTATTAATAAATCAATGGGCAGACAAAGCGTAAAATTCTTCACGGTGTAAACGTGATTTTAGTCTTTACCAAACAAATTAATAATTCACACTCTTATTTGATTTTCTCTCTCTCTTTCTCCCTTTCTCTCTCTAATAATATTACAAAATAAAATAATAAAATATTCTTTCCGTAGTTCCATATTGGTCGCTCGAAACTGTATACGTACATATAAGTATATCGTGCTAATGCCATCCGCAGTAATGAATGAGCCTGTTGTGTCGACGAGGAGACGCCGCTTGCATTTAATTATAAAGTAAAAACGTGGCGTGAGCTTTTATTAGTTTTTTGCCCCTCTAGTTTTATTTTGTGCTTCTTTTTTTTCCTCTAAAAATCAACGCACGTGTGGAGATCCGTTGGAAAGCTTGTTCGAGCGTCAAAGCTCAAGCGCTGAGACACGCGTTTCTACGTGACTAAGAAAAAAAAAGCTGCAAGCTACACACTGGCAGGACCCTAGTCAGCTCATGGGGCAGTCACCTTTAGCTAAAAGGACAGAGAACCCATGTCCAGGTCATCGATAGTAGCAGAAAACCCATACATCTGTAACCTATAAAATAGACCTAAATCGTATATGGATGTAACTGCGTTCAAGAGAAATAACGGTCCTATCCCTATGGGTGCTGTCTTCTCCTTCGAGGACATAATGTATATATGTATATTGCATATGGGATCCATGGGTCATGAAGGGGATACGCATTCAGTATGGGGGCAGGTGGTAGGGTATATCCTTAGAAAAGTGTAGAAATTAACAATGAGTCTCCCTTGCGATGACTGCACAGCTGTCGAAGGACAGCTGCATCCCGAACGATAATAAGAAAGTCTCCAGGACATTCGAAGCACCAGAAGCCATTGGCGAAGCCATAGTCTGGTGCGTCAGAGAGGGATAATATAAGAGTGAGATTATTTAAAGGCGTTACAACAATTTTTTGCCCCGCTGTCGCGACATCCTGTGGCGCATAAGCAGTTAGTATATGCGTAACATAAAGAATTATGCGAGAGAGGATACAGGTTATTGTTCTCTAGTAATTAGGGAAAAAGCGTACTACACTGTAGCTTTGTTGCTTTCTTGTTTCTGAAACTTGGCAAAAGAAGCCACTCTGACTAATTATTTAGTTTGGATATAATTTGCACGACTCTTCCTATAGGTTTAGTAGGATCGTTTCTATGCGTTACTCGAGAGCGAAGGACAATTTGCTTAACAAAATAGTGACGTGCCGACCGGTGTCAAGTAACGCAGCTTCTTCCCCAGCTAACAAATAATACTTACATATACATAACTTTCCCTAGTAAGAATAGCACACACGGTAAGATACCGATCGATTATTCCTCCTGCTCCGAAGTAATGGTACTCAAAGCATTCATTGGTTCGTTAACCTCTTTATTTTGTTCGGGTACCTTCAGCGGCCCGGAAGAATACACATATGATTTCATACGTATCAGTAAGATATCTGTCAGTATCGAATAAGACTTGCCTCATAGGAGTATTTATATTCATCTTCTTTTCTTCAACGATTTTGCAAGGACGCATGAAATGAGAATCTCTGTCTTGCCTTGACGCTCCTTACGAATCGATCCAACTGCCAACGGCTATGCCCCTTATACTTTGGAATGTCTATTATACCGAACTACCCGAGTAGCGGCTTACATACATATGTATATGTATATATAAATCGTATTTTCCATTTCTATAAGAATACGCAAAGTTCTTCTTCCTCGACTCTGATTCTACGTCATGAATCTTTCTATCATTTAAATATTAGACAAACTGATTTTCCGAGTGTTTACATTTGAATCCAACGGTTTCACTACTACTGCATTCAATGGTATGTTGGGTAGCGAAAGTAGAGTGTAACAATTACTCTTATGACAGTTGAAGAATTCATAATAAATAATAGAAACTATTAATGTTTCGAAAATTGTATGACAGTTGTAATAATAGAGATCTTAAGTTTACTCAATGATAAGCTGAGTATCGAAACTGTTCGAGAATAAGGCGGAGTTTGTCTTTTCTTCGATATTTTAAGACCATGAAAAGGAACGTTATTTTACCGTGAATTCGTAGAGTTTCTGATTATCATCCTTTTAGAGTCAAACTATATATGTATACATATACACAATAATTATTTATTATCCGCTTTGCTTTTGTTCGAGGTTTTTCCCGAAATTCCCGCTCTCGGCACTGACTTATGTTAGCAAAATCTTGCTATTCGCGGTTTTGCTATTCGTGATATTTATCAGGAACCCAACCCCCTCGACGAACGAGGGAATACCGTATATATACATAAAACTATCTTCAATGGCGATGATTAACGAATTAACAAAATTACAATGTTAGCGTCTTTCTTAAGTCAGTAGACAAGTAAAGTATGTCGAATCTCAATATAGCCAGTTCCTTTCGTGCCATTTTACGGAAGAGTATTTTACTGTCGATTACGAGCTGTCTTTAACTTAACACTGTATCGACGGTGAGTCAGCACTGCGACGTCTAAGTACGTCGGCTAGTAAAGCAAATTAAAGGCAATTCGAAGAAATCGACGGAAACCACTTATCGTTCCTTCGAGGAAGAAAGGTCCTACGTATATATGTGGGACTATGGCTAAGGTCCTCGGATAGAATGGAATAGTCACCGTTACGATAATTATTGAACAAGTTTACAGTATGGTACGCAGTTTCTGTTTTTACAGGTGGCGTGGGGCACGGCTGTAATGGAGTTGCAGAGTTGGTTACTTTACCACCTCGTGGCTGTAACCGACTGCAACCAAGGTAGCGAGATAAATTCTTCTAAACAATTACATATTTTAATTCAAAGTTAAATTGTGCACTCTATATACGTATATACGTAGCAAGCTAGTCTGTTATTGATACGTGAGCTCCAATATTATTCGTTTAGATTTCATTGTATATCGTGATTCATTTATAAAAACTCCTTTCAATTTGAAATTTTAAAACCGTAATTTTTTTGTATTTATTACTCGTATCCCCTTTTGCAATTTTTGGCACACTTTTTTATGTTATAATTCTTTTCGTTTTTTTTTCTTTTTCTGCATTTATGTGCTAATCCAGACTGAAGGTTCACCAGCACCTTTAGTTCGTTTAGTTGATTTTCGTTCGTTTTGGATCTTCACTGTCGGCACGGCGGCACTTTTACTTGATTTCTCATTCTGTTATCATCGGGCGGAAACGACGATCTACCCATGTTTGATGGTAAGTGTGTTACTTCAACGTATAAGTGACATATATGTTTTCCTATAGGGTGATTACGCTACATATGAAATTATATATATATATATATATATATATATATATATATATATATATATGCATATAGTACATTTGTCGCGCGATAACAGCGATGTACATGTAACTTGAGAACTTTATTTCTGAAATTACGTTGAATATTAATTTTGTCATATTACTATGTAAAATACCATTTTTTTCGTGCATTTTATACAGTACGTGGATATATGTTGTGAAAAATTATTCGGAGAGATATCAACGGCAGTTTTAATATTATAAGTAAAATATATTTTTCAGTGATGCAGTCGGCAGGCACTGGGGGTGGAGTCTGTTCAGCTGGAGGTACAGGAAGTCGTGCCCGTGATCTGGGTCTGAGGGCTCAAAAGAAAATTTTAGGTCGGGTCGTATCAACCGGCGCCGGTCGTTCTCTATTGATAGACGATGCCACGACGTCGCTTTTGGATAATCTATACAAGCTCATGGAAAGGGCAGCCAAGAGTAATCCTGGTTTAGATAAGAAGCAGCCAGAGAAGGTCCTCAAGAACATCGTAAAATTGTCTATTAAGGTAATGGGAGCGAAGAACGCTGATAGCGTTTATTCTATTTATCGAGTCGCAGGTCTATCTCAAGGATTGCACGTACAATGATTTTATGACGTAGGTTGGATTGCTGCAACGGAATCAACAGCTAGGACCTTCGGACGAGGGAAGAATTTCAGAAATTCGATCATCCTTGAAGGCTGCAGCTATGGCGGTGGTCTCGTTCTACGAGCTAGAATTTAGCTTTGACAAAGCATACCTAACCAGGTCCTTGGAGCGCTGTAGGACAGCTGTACAAGCCCTGATAAAACCTCACCTAACCGACAAGTCCAAGGATCGCTGTGATCAAGTCTTCGATTTCCTGACACAGCCCGAATTTTTAGACTCTGTATTCAAACAGGATTCGGAGCACAGAACCACACTCGGAATGCTAGTCAACGATATCAATATAGCCCTGGATGCTGGACATCTTTGATTTTACGAAGGACTGGATGCTCGTGTCTTGAGCTTGGAGTCGAGTCATGGAATCTGAGCATCGAGTGAACAACTATTTGAACGTACGGAATTACCAAGGGAATCAACCATTAATTTTTTACCTCTTATACTCGCATTAATCAATCACGCCTCGCGTTCAAACTCACATTCTAATGGGAGGAGTCCGGGTATACACGTAAAAGATTTTTCTTTACGTATAGTCATGACAAATGTGTAACACGATGACAGGCATCGGCCATTTACATTCGTTAAATCACGATAATCTCGTTTATCGAGTGTGCTCACTGATTTACGCAATAATAATGGAAATACTCCACTTATCGTAAGAATATTAATATTCGTTATTGCTATGTATTCAATCGAGAGAACAATACCAATTATTGTGAAACCAAAAAAGAAGGAAACAGGAGAGTAAGGGAAAGAAATATACGAGCTTTTACCACCCACTAAGTGGGCTTAGGAGTCAGGAGACGTAGCAAGTAGTATTATATAATATTGTAAGGAATAAGAAAAGACAAGTGTTTTAGAGTCTGCAATTCCTGAGTGTTCCTCGCTGTCGACACGATTTCAATGTTCGAAGAGTTTTTCTAGTTGCAGACTTGAATTAACCGAAACTCTCTTGCGAAACATATCAGTCTGCATGTATCAAGTGATGTATACTCGATTTTTAATATTTTGTATTCACGGCTACGCGCACGCACATCTCGTACTACGCCTATGTATCGATGATAGCATATCTAATGAGTAATGTACTTTAGTCAATGTTACGAGTATCAGTCATGGACCACTGCTCGATCCTATAACTATAGCTACACTTATACTCGACGAGAAAAAACCTTTTGGAGGATCCACCCTTTTGTACGCGGTACCTATACACCCACTTTACACCATAATCTAGTAAGCGATAATTATTAATGTAACTAAATGATTGTGTCGACGTAAGGTTAATAAATTATTTATAAATATCGAAAGCAACGTGTGACTGGCGAAGCTCTTGTACAAAATCGTATACCGGATGTTCGTATGGGCGGGGAAGTAAAGACGAGCCTTTGAATTTCTGCGAATAGTTTGGCATGAAATTTATTTACACATATTCACGCAGTCGCGCATATAAAGTTACAACGGTATATCATGCACGAACTGCTGTCCGAATTGCACTGAACTTATCGAATCTAATTGTAAGTAACGCAATTTTCAAAACAGCGACGTGGCGACTTTTAAAAATTAGTCTGTCGGCTCACGGTGATACACATTTTCATACACTCATTGTTCGAAGCTCTGCCATCTTTATGACGCAGAATACATTTTGGGAAACGTCTGTCCACTTGCACATTTTTTTTTTGAGGATTTATCATTCGTTTAAACGCGATGATGCAGCTCATTGTAAAAATTCATTTCGTTCTACTGTTTAATATTCTTTTTCGAGACACCGTACTTCACGTATCGAAATACATGAATTTCTATTCCGTGATACGCTCCCAATAGTACACGACGGTAAATTGAATTCGCAATCTTCACGCAAGTCCTCGTTCCCACGTAATGCTTTCAGAGAAAGTGCGTGCAGTCTCGATGCGGAATAAGAATTTGCTAATAGTAAACGACCCATTGCATTAGATATGGGTAAGAATCGTTTACATAGACGTGTAAGAAAAATATAGAAATCTTAGTTGCTTCTTGTAAAAACTATATTTTCATTTACCTCCAAGTGGGGTCAAGATTCGACTAGAGATGACCTGATATTATTTTAACCAATTTATTTCTAGGTTAAGATAATCGTAATCCTGTTAGTGTCGCAGCAGATGAAAGGTAAGTCTAAAGAATGTTCAGGTGCAATTAAATAATTTGAATTGGGAGAACTAATTTTGGTAAACAATGGTATTTATAAAATTTCATATTGTACCAATTAACGTTGAGCATAACGTCACGATCGGATAGTCAATTTTATAAGAAAAACCGTAATTTTTCATACGCTTAGACGTAGTGTGATACGTGAATCTCTAATGCACGTTTGTTAATGATTTATTCTTGCACTAATAATGGCGATTGATTCATTTTCTTATAGTCCCAAAGTCAACGCTCGCTTAATAGCTGTCAATAATCGATAGTGTACAATTTATCGCAAATAAATTCGATTAGGTATTTATTAACGCCGAGAAAATTCATCATTAAGATGGCAGAGACTGGTGATCGAATAAGGATCGGCATCATTGTCATTCAATGACATTCGCAATACATGAGAGAAAAGGGAGGAAAAATGAAAAGAAAATTGAATTAATATTAATTGGGTTCTTGTATACGTATAAAGTAACATGTGTTAAAAATCATAACCATAAATATGTTAACGATCTTAATAGATAAATTATTATTATTATTAGGGGCGTGCGAGTAGGCTTAAAATTTTTGTCAAGTTTTATTGAAAATATCGATATAGCAGCTCATCACCTTGTTAGCACTTCCCTAAACATAGTGGGCGCGTTACATTTATTGTGCAAATATAGATATTCGCGATTTGTATTTTAAAAAAAAACAACATAGGAGTCCGAAATAAATCTATTTTGGCTTGATCGATATAACGAGTCATAAAAATCTTAACGACGATCGGACTGAAAACACAGCGATTTCATTTTAAGTACACTGAATTTTCCAAGCGTCATTGAATTATCGGCGTTCGATCGTGGACGATATCCTATTAAAACTTGGCAATTATCTAAATAGTCGCACATCGCTAATTGCTTCCTGTCGTCACTGAGTGTCAATAATGTATTTCCCCTCGAAAAGTTATACTCAATGCAGAAATCATTTCTCAATGTATATAACAGCACGCACGCAAAAAAAAACATATAACATTTACACAATCACAGCTCACTCGTATGATTACTTTTTTCATAAAATTCATTTATCCCATTTTTCATTAGTTTTCATAATTTCCCTAATAATACCACGATGCGAGAGCGAACGATGCGGATTCTTGTTTTGTCGTTTTTCTTTTCTTTTTCTCAAGCTTATGAAATTAACAGTCAGGTTCGATCGAAAGTGAACTCGTGTAAACTTGCCGGAAGTACACAGCTTTTGACATTTCTAGTCTGTGATGTAAATCATTTATATTCTTCTCTTGGATACGCCACCTCGTATCTGGCTGCTATAGTAATATTACGATATTCGTAAAGTAGGCTGACGAAGAATTAATTAATGCCTCCTACAATAAGAGTTTTTAACTTCTGCATTCGATTGATGAGCCCCCTAACAATTCACTAGGCGATATTAAGAGGTACTGTAAGTGTTCCTTTCCATAATAAATATTCATCACGATCATACCCATACCTCGTTTTGTTAATCGACGAATGATCGTTCAATATCATTCATCATTAATTCACTAAACTATACATCTTGGCAGCATCTTCCACTACGTCATTCTTAAACACCATTATTACGTTTAATTTATTTCGCAATTAGGAAATTGCACGTGAAAATTGATATCCCGTATTTATATATAATCTGTCGAGTATCCTTTTGAGGCGCTTCTCTGTTACAATTGCATCATATCAAATTCATGCCTAATTATTCCGATCACTTTCTTATGCACTCCTTTATCATGCAAATGGCTTGCGGACGAGACACAGAACTGGCAATGCTAGAAATTTTTATCCTGTTCCGTGATAACCTAACGCGTTATGGGAATTATATTTATAAATAATAGCACAGACACTTAATCGCATACCATTGAATGTAGTCTACAATTTTGCGGAAGTATCATCTTCAGACACATTTCACGTCGAGAATTTAATAGTTCGTTGAGAATTCGATCCGTGCGAGTTTCTTATATATCTGCCATGTCTGATGTTAAATAAGCAAGACGCGGACAGAAACCTTTTTAGAAATAGTTCTCGAGATAGGAACAAAATTTGAGTGTAGTCCGATGCTTCCTTTTTCTTGCATGATTTCCTATGAATTCTTCGTCCCGTTTACTAATCCCAGGGAAAATGTGGAACGTGGGACAATTGTCAGAATGTCACAATTAAGTTTTATCCCGCACATAGCAAAAGGCTTGTATCTTACAAGCTTGTGATTATGCAGCGCAATACGAACCCGTAATCAGACTCATTGCCATAATCCTGCGTAATTACCGTACAGATTTGCAGGCAATGGTCCACCAGCTGTGAATAGACGAGTACCAGACGCGTCATAACAGTGAGTATAAATGGCAGGTGTGTATTTGACATTTTGAAAACCGTCTATGTATTCTTCATCCGGAAACTGAATAAAAATTAATCAAAGTTAGTAAGTGCTGATATTGAGTTTTATAATAATTTTGTATTTACCACGTATCCTTTGCTGGCTTTTAAAACGACTGTTCGATTTGAATTTATTGAGGATTCCAAATATTTTTGAGCCCTCACGTCATAGAACATCAGCATCCCTAATCCTGTACCAATTGTCAAGACAGAGCCTTGAAAACTTGCTGATCTGATTCCACAGCCGCTATATCTATAAGAAGGATAATTAAATATTGTATAATGATAAAAATTGAGAAGAGCAAGTAAATTATATTATTATAGACCTTGATGGTATTTTTTTTATTGGCTGTAAAGTTCTTGCATCCAGAAGAAGAGTATATGATCTACAACCTACGGCGTAGACGCCGTCGTCTTGAACTGCTAGGCAAACATTTTCTTGACAGGCTGGTAATTTTCTTGAGATTTTCTGTTTGAATGTCTCGGCTGACCAGATATGTATAAAACTGTTTAACGATAGTGCTGCGATTTCCATGTAAGCTTTGTTAAATGCCAAAGCACGCACTTTTTGAGCTGATCGACACTCTTTTACGCATACTGGTTGTATTAGTCTATTAGTAATAATAATATGCGATGGTTTATTGAAACTGTATAAATAATAGATTGATTGCTGTTTTATAATTAGTCGATAAGATACCTGTGTGATGGTATGTCAGCCTTATCAGGAGCGTCCGCAAGGTCACTGTCAATGCGCCATAATGCCATTTTTGTGTCTCTAGATCCAGATACTAAAAATTCATCGTCTAGCCAACACATATCGAATACCCAGTCTCTATGCCCCGTCTCCCCAACGCATACTGGGTCTAGAGTTGGTAATCTATATATCGCTATTTCGTTGCTATTTCTAGCCCCAGTCGATAGTAAGGTTCTATAAAGAAAAAAAGTTTGATAAAAATTAATATTTTAGCATTAATGCATAAAGGATGGTTTTTGTATTATTTGATATTATTACCTGGAAGGATTTATTTGAACGGAATGAATGCCACACTGTTGCTCGGGCACTGCTCCACCTCCAGGATTAGTTTGCCTCCCATGAAGAGAAGGAATCTGATCTAATTTTTGAGTTGCAACATCATAAACCATTAATTTGTTACATTTTGTTCCAAATACTACTTGTCTATCGCTGAGCCACTGCGAGCAAAACACTTTATTCATGTTATTTAAACTAACTGAATACTCTTTAAATAGATCATGCGTTAATATATGCCGAGAGCCATATTCTTGATTGATTTTTCGAACTTCTCTCGTGTTCGTTTCACGTGCGCGAACATAGTCCACAAAATTGAAAGAGGTTCGTAAGAATTGTTTTCCTTCACTAACAGTCTCCTCCTCATCATCACTTGATTCATAGCAAACAAAGTCTTCAGGCTTATCTGGCTTTCTATTTCTCTCCAATCGTAATGCAAGTCTAGAAGAACAAAGCATTCAAATTAAAATTATATTACATTCCACAACTAAATCTCTTTTATAGCAACTTAACAGTTACATAAAATTAATCATCTAGTACTTTTTGAAAAAGAGAAGAGTTACCTTCGTGCCCGACGTTCCTCCAAACGTGAACCACTTGCACATGGTGGTTGTCGTCCATAAACAACAACTCTCTGTGTTTCAGCCATAGTCTGCTGTTTTGGTTGTCACTTTTTTACACTCATAAATATTTATAAATACAGATGCATCTGAGCAAACAGATTTACAATACTAGATTGTATTTCAAGTGGAATGGATAGTCTCTCTTGTATTACGTCCCTTAAAGTTTCACATAAAACAAGACAAAGGAACACCATCACAATGAAACTTGTAATTTATTAGTAATTTTATATTCTAAATTAAAATTTTGCTAATTAATTTCGAAGTATATCATTATATTTATCACACCATAAAAGAGGTAGTAGTATAAACATGAAACATTGCATTTTTCATACCCATAGTAAACATAAGTTTTATGTTAAATTATCAATGGTCACAAAATTCTCCAGTTACCTCTAAAGTCTATCAATGAAAAGAATCCGTCATCGTAATTATTAAATACGACTTCGCAAATATTTTAAGCGTCTGTGTAGTACAACAATAAACATAACAGAAAAGATTGACGTCCACTGTGCAATTCTTCTTCTTCTTCTTGATCCTTTTTGGCTTTATGCTCTAAAGAGCCAAGTGCCAGCACTGTGCAATTAAACAGTAGAAAATTATTATGTCTGCAGAAGGCTCTGATTTGACCGGAATTAAAAAAGTGTCGTACGTAGTGGTAATTTGGCCTTTGAGGTTGCCAAAAGGCTTTGAAACCTCAGCGTATATTGTCTTGATAGTCTTGTCGTGTACTCGCCCATTAAAACTTCAGAGAAGCGATGGAAATAGCCAAATCTATTGAGCAAGTCAGGACCGAAGTAACTTGTCCATCGGAAAAAAATCTTGAATCTCACACATGAAATAACTGCATAATTCTCCTGATGCTTTGAATTCACAAATATCCAAGTCACCGTCGTGAGTTCGTGTCAATTGAGTCTAGAGGAACTGGTGATAATTCCATAAAATACATGTTAAACTATGGGAACCCAAAACGGTACTAAGCAACTACCAACGCCATATTGAAACGGGTACTCCCGTCATGTACAGGGTGTCTTGAGAAATGAATATTTGTCTTCTCTTTACTGAAAAATAAGAATTTATATTCTGTTTCGTGTTAAATGAATTATAACTACTTTAATAGATATAGATATTCTTAATAAAAAGATCGAGCAGTGTTGGTTATCAGTTATATGTATGTATAAAGAAAGTTGGACATTAAATGTCCCCACTGTCGGGCATATTTCGCTGACACTATCTGACACTTTTCAACTAAATTTTTTTAGAAAAAATGGCATCGTTCAAGAAAACGAATATTAAAGTATTTTCAAAGACCTCTGCCGAGTTAACAGAAGATAATATATATTGGAAGAAGTATACGGTGAGTATTTTTAAACAATAGTATATAAATTATCACTATTGAATTGTTTTCTATATCGTCCCTTAAGATTTAAAAACCACGTGTATTTGTGTTAACCTTAATCAGTTCTATTGATGTTTATTTATTATTAATCATTTTCTTTCAATATCGATTACGTCTTATAAATATCTATGTTATATTGAACGTAGTATGTATTTTAACTATGGTTTGTTTATTAGGCTCCTGTATTGGTGAAAGAGTTTGGACCTATCGATTATATAGATTTTTCACCAGTAGAACCACACTATTTTGCTGTAACATGTTCAGTAAGAGTACAAGTATATAATCCCATTACAAAGTTAGTCACAAAAAACCTCAGTAGATTTAAAGAAGCAGCATACGGTGGATCATTTCGTTCGGATGGTAAACTACTGTGCGCTGGTGGAGAAGAAGCTGTTGTGAGATTGTTTGACGTTAATTCAAAAAGTCTACTTAGATTATTCTCAGGACATAAAGCTGCAGTTCATAGAACATTCTTTACTGCTGATGGCATTCACATTGCTTCTTTTTCTGATGACAAGACTGTAGCTGTTTGGGATATACCAAGTGAAAAACAAATAATATCATTCAATGAGCATTCAGATTATATTCGAGCTGGAGCTACTAGCCCTGTATCTCCTGATATATTTATTTCGGGTGGATATGATAAAACCATTCAAATGTATGACACAAGGACAAATAAACATATCTTTAGTGTAAATCATGAAGCACCGGTAGAAAGTTTACTATATCTGCCGTCTGGTGGTATATTTTTATCAGCTGGTAAGTTAATATTTTTATATTCCTTTTTGAATAAAATAACGTTTATCCATGTAAGCTTAATTACTTTTAACATGTATTTCAGGAGGGACTGAAATAAGAGTATGGGATGCTCTTGCAGGTGGTAGATTGCTCGCAAAAATGTCCCAACATCACAAAACAATAACTTGTTTAAAAATGGCTTCAAATGGTCGTAGAATACTTTCTGGTTCATTAGACAGACACGTAAAAATATATGACGCTGGAACATACAAGGTTGTTCATACCCTGGATTATCCAAATGCAGTGCTCAGTATTGGAATCAGTGTAAGAATGAAATCATGTGGTGGAAAATCTTTTCAACTACAGCAATTCTTATAAATTTATCATTTTCAGTCTAACGATGAGACCATAGTAGCTGGTATGGTGGATGGTCTGATTTCTGTGAGAAGAAGAGAAGATGACGCGAAGGAGGCAAAACCACGTAGAAAAAAAATGTCTTACAGATATTCTGCAGAGAATTCTCATATTCCTACTGTAGATAGTGTGGTTCAGGAGGAATCGAAGGAGATAATAGGCAAATATGATGCCTGTCTTAGAAAGTTTGAATACTCAAAGGCCTTAGACTGTGTTATGCTTCCTTATGTAGTAAAAAAAACACCACATGTCACCGTTGCCCTTTTTCAAGAACTTATAAGACGACAGGGTTTGAAACAAGCTTTGGCTGGTAGAGAATCAAAATTCTTAGTTGCCATTTTGAAGTTCCTAATTAGGTATATTGGAAGTATCAGATTTGGCCATGTAATAATGCATGTTACAAATGTTTTCGTGGGTATGTCTTATTACATATAATTGTCGTTAAAATAATTTAGTGTGATTGTATCTGCTAGCTAATCATGAATCGAATTATGCTTTGTGTTCCAGACGTATACGGAGATTATCTTGAAGAATTAAATCCAGAGATACGTAAGCTGATTGATATACTGTTAAAAAAACTGTACGAAGAGTTAGAATTAACAATGTCATTGTTGGAACTGCAAGGAAGTCTACAAATGCTATTGTCCGCTGCTGAAACAACCTCCGTATCGCATACTCAGGATATTCCAGCATTAGGACCGTCTCTGGCCGCACAGACAAATGTTATTTTCAGTATAAGTTAATCATCATTCTCTTTGAATTGCGTATATGATTTTCAAATAAATATTTTCAAAGGATCGTTAAAATCGATTTCTTGAGTTATCTTAGTGGATACCATTCTGGACAATAGTCCTAGCAATGGAAGTAAAGTACAGCCAAAGTATTGTTGTGCAGTCGGTTTTAATATAATTTTATAATAGTTTACGACTTAGCATGAAAAGAATCATTTTTGAGGTACTTTTGCCAAGCAGCTGATGATGCTGTTTCAGGCATTACCCATCCAATCGGGATAGGTGAACCTTGGCCATTGTAACTTATGTATTTATCCCAGGCGAACCTGAAATTCATATTTGGTTATTATCGCGTTCCTTGTAAAACTATTTGTATGTTATGTACTATAATTTTGACTGACCTGATAGCCACGAGTTCACTTGGGTCTCGCTGAAAACTGTCAATCGATGGTAACTTTCTACCAAACAATACACGTTCCCAATCATCAAAGGTATTTCTTTTTTGCTTTTCAATTTTTTCCTCATTATCCGTTTTCAACATTAGCTTTAATCCTTGTTCCTCGATCGAATACTCTCTATCCAGTGCTGCCCATTGTTCTACTAACTTCACTGTATAAAAAAAGATATAAATTGTAATGAACTAAATCAGACTGAAAATAGTGTTAAGAATTAGTGAAACATAATCAGATAATCTTACCAATGATATTATTGAAAGCTTCATCCGCTGCTGATGAAAGGTGTTCACCCCTCGCTCTAGCAGCATTAACTTTAACTTTTCTTAAGTTTTCCAATTCTTGTAGAACAGCCAGAAATTTCTTTGCATCGCTGCGTTTTCCTCTCACGTCTGATAATATCATGTCTGCATCCCTTCTCAACTCTTCTTCCTGTTTTTCTTTATTTATTTCTTCTTGCTTCCGACTGATCCAAGCATCTGCTTCAGCATGTAAAATCGCTCTTCTCTCCAGTTTCAATATCTTTTCTAGATTCCATTTTGCTTGTCTACGTTTCTCTCTCAATCTTTTCTTTTTTCTCTTTTCTAATTGCTTATTTGTCTTTTCTAGCACATTGGCCTCCTTGAATCTGTTTAGCAATTCAGACAATTCAGACTTTACTGACTGACACTCTTCTAATTTTGTTTGCCATTCTTCTTCCGGTAAGTCTATATCAGTTTTTAGTTCTGAAGCCATTTTGTTTAGTCTTTCGTTGAGTTTACAAGCAGATATTAGAGCAGTTTTAATTGTGGCAATGTTTGATTTCTCCTGCGAGCTATTATTGTACACAGTTTCAGTGACTTTCTCTCCAATAAAGTTCTCAATAACTTTTTCATCATTTTGTCTTTTTGCTAGAGTCGTGGTTAACACTTCCTCTTCTTGCGAAATACTGTACGATGGATTGACCATATAGTTATACATATTGTGAGTAGGTATACCATGATTTGGATTGTATGTTGGATAAATAGCACTGGTAGGAGCATACTGATTATAATATGGATTAAAATTATTAGACCCTGAATGCATGGTAAAGTTCAAATCACCATATATGGTATTCTATGTTTAATAATTGAAAATATTATTAAAAGTTAATATTTAGTATCCTAAGTTATTTATTAAAGAAGTTTATGTAAATAATAATTAAATGCAAAATATGGTTCTTGTGCAAAGCTTAAGATCTTTTAGCACACATGAAGAACTTCTCCTCCTTTAGGAAGTTGTTCTTCAGCGTCCTGCAAAACGTTTTCTGCCTCGCTATAAGGCTCTTGGTCCTTTAAATCCTGTTCCGTTTCCAAAATTTTCTTTAATTCTTCATAAGCTTTTGCTAAACGACGTTGACAATCTGGAACCATCATCAGTGATTCCTGGAGCACTTCTTCCTGCTTTCTAATGTCATAGTCATCCTTGCCTGTCAAATAAATTGCAAAACTTAACAGGCAAAACATTATACAATTGTAATAACAATATTAAATCAAATATTATAATTCTTTTAAAATAATAGCACGTTTATATACTTTATTGTGAATATAGGTATTTCGAGAAACAATCCTTTTGCGTTGCGCTTAAGTGCATCGGTAAAGTCCATTGCAACAGAATTTAAAAGAATTGCTACAAATGTGCAACCAAAACTTTTATTATATTAATTTAATAAAGTATACTTACCCTGATCTTTCAGTTTCTGTATTCTTTCGCGTTGTTGCACCGCTTCTTTCTCGTACATAACCTTTTCTTTCGCAAGACGCTTCACTATTCCGGTTTTAATTTTTAGGGTACGTAATCGTGGATCCGACATTTTTAAAAAACAACTGACTAAATTTGAGTTTCTTATCACAAGTGTTTATACGAAACGAGAGGGTTTTGCCTCATATGGTCAGATGATTAGCAAGAAATGTGCTCGAACGAAGAATTTGAAGCTGTGACAGATGCAATAAAAAACGCATAGGTGTTCATCTATACTTTACCGCTACGACGGTCGAGACTTTATTGCGATATCATCGATTCTTATACAAGCAATAGCTCGTAATCTCGAAAGTGTAATTGATGAGTATAAATACAATTGTAGATTTTCAAATTTGAAATAAGTTTGTAATTATGATAAAACTTTAAAAGCGATGGACCACTTTCCTATTTCATATATATGTATGTATAATTATCGATTATTATTAATTTGGATTAAATCCAATTATAGGACGTGCACCTTTAAATATCAACACACATCTTACATTAAATTATTAGATAAGAGAACATGGTAAACAGATGAGTTTAATATTTAATTCTATTTGTTTCGAATATTGACATAGAAAATTCAATTTATCCACGTAAAATATTACTTAATAATGCAAAGTATCAAGATCTGTAAAGTTTTATAATTTCATATTTATTCCTCCTTTAATATCAGTTAAAAATCATCTTAATTTTAATAATTATTGTATTAATTCAACTTCCAATCTGTGATAGGCGTTACAAAGAAATCCTCTCAAATTCCAAATATTTTTGAAACTTTCTGGTTGCACATTGTACGACGAATCTACAGCTTTTACCCAAATCTCAGCATGTTTCACTTTTGGTTCCACAGGTAATTCAATATTCCAAATAGTCCAACCCCAATGACGACCTTCCTTGGCTGCAGAATCTTGTGCCACTATATTTGCAGTGTGCCAAGTGTTGCCTTCATCCGCTGTCACGTCAATCCGAATAATTTTTTTCCCACCACCCGACCAGGCATACCCTTAAAAAATTGTAATTCCTAATTTTATACTACTAATTGTAAGTATATTACATAAGGAAATTGCGAATTAATATTTTACCTTTGACAGAGATTTTGTTATCCTTAACTGGTACCTTGTCCATGGGTTCCGGACTGCATATAGCAGAAATAACAGGAAGTTCCTGTATAGCTGGAGATTTTGAGAAGTCAACATTGTTCCAATCTGTACTTGGTGAGAAACCTTTATAGTCTCTTTGCTGCCATTGTGATGGACTCTCCTCCTTCGATATGATGACTTTACCTGATAAAAATACTCCACTTATCTAAACTATTTTTTTGTTTACTAGCACTCCGAAATTTCCTTACCCAGCCACTTAACATTTCTAGCACCAACAACTCCAGGAACTATTGCTCGTATTGGGAAGCCATGATCCCTTGAAATAGGTTGTCCATTCATTTCATATGCCAGTAGAACATCAGCTCTTGGGTCTAGTGCTCTGCTTATGGGAATACTTGCACCATAGTATGTGCCAGATGGATCCAAGTCCAGACCTTCAAACTAAAGTGACAGTATGAAACAATATTATATATTAGTTATAAGGCCTTTATGGAATAGTACCTGCACATGATTGTAGTCATCTTCTTTGATACCTAGATCATTAAGTACGTCGCATAATCGAGCACCAGACCATGATGCGTTTCCAACAGCACCAACACCCCAACTTAATCCTTTTAGAGGTTTTGCCTATGAGAACATAGTTATATGATCGTTATATATTTAGAATGTTATTAGTTAGTTTACATACTTTAATTTTATCAGTAATTAATTGACATATACCTATTACCTTTGCCATTTCAGAGCGGCGATTGCCCGCGCACATAACGGCACTGGTTATCGTGTACTTTGGATATTTTTTTATATCTTCTAATTTCAGTACTTTTTGGGTATTTTCCTCCACCGCAAGTTCAAGTTCGTATGTTTTCAAATCAATTTCTGGAACAGGCAAATGATGTCTCACATAGAATAATTCCCTGTAACAGAAATTATTGTGATTTATAATCAGTAACATCGTGCAAAAGTAGAATATCATCTATTACACATACGCGGGCGTGTAAAAGCTTTCTACTAATAGTGATGCAGGTGGTTCTGCACAAAATGGTTTTTGTCCATTGATCTTTAGAGCCTTGTGCCGTTGTGGTTCATTTCTATATGGATCATTATCATCAGCAGAATGAGATTTTGCATCTGATTCAGAAATATTCCCAATCCTCATTGACTCCAATAGACTCAGAATGTCATCCTTATTGTGATTAGCAAAGATTGTCCAAAATGGCTCTATTGAAGCTCCAGCAGCCATCATAATTTTATCAGATCCACCAGGATGCTTTTCCACAAAATCTGTTATATCATAGACACCATGCTTATACACGATCCATATGCCTGTCCTTTTATTATCATGTCTTCCAATTTCCTCCATTGTATATGTTTTTAAATCTTCTCGCAGTGCACCATACTCCACGTTCTTATGCTTTCCAAATGCATATACCTTCTCTATATCTAAAGCATGAAAGAAGTAGAGCCCTAAGGCAGACAGAGTAACTGCTGCAGTTGCAGCATACCTTCTGAATGGATCATTATTAGAATTCTCATTCTGCGAGCTTTGTTCCTTCTCATTATAATAGCTACTGAAAGCTGTAGCAGGACGATGCAAGAGTATTCTTGATTTTAATGTATAAGATCTGTTTATAAAGAAACACAATACTGAAGAATTAAACAAAAGCAAACATAACTTTTGATAAATACCTTCCATGTTTGCACAGTGTTTTCAAATGAAAAGCCATAATGGTTGCGTCGTACAATTAGTATAGCTATAGGAATGACAACAGGTATACAATTAATATTATTATACTAGTCTTTGAAGAGTATATTCATGACATTAAAAAACTGCGAATGAAATCATACTATATGAGTTATCGGGTTTAAATGCGTTCAAAACTTCGAAGATAGTATCCAGATCGTAAAATACAAAAAATAAGAGATAGCACACATACAACAATAACTTTACCATCATATTTATTTTTATTACGCAATTGCTGATATATGTATATATATATTTTTATTATTAATTCGACTTGCACAGTCACAAGATTATCCAAAACATTCTACTACTAAGTACTTTTCTACTGTTACATCAGTTACATATGTATTTAAATTTGAAGCGTAATGGCTCCCTGTCATTTCACTGAAAGGTTATTTTCGTGATTTTGTGCGGAATTTTAGAAAGATTTGTCACAGTAATTTTTTACATTCTCTGAATGAATTAACTTTTTTATCACGAGCACAAGGAATATCCCGAATGACTTTTTCTTAGGTTTAGTTGGCGCGGTATATACGCGTTTAATGTGCTTGGTAAGCACAAATATGTATGCCTTATGTACATAAATGTATGTCGCTTGTCCTCTACATAATAATCGGTTAAAATTCATATGGTGTTGTATTATTTAATTAAAAAATCATTTCTTATCTCGTGACAATTCTTTTTTGCGTTCATGCTTGTTTTTGGAGTAAGAGGTTATACCGGGAGTAATCTTTTATGTGATCTTTGACAGCTTTACACATATTTTATTTACGAAATAAATATGTGATTTTTAAATGCCACGTTGTATCTGTATGTGTATTAAATATGTAAATCTGTATCTTATTATCATTGCTTATGTAAACAATTTCTTATATTGTTTAATTGTTTGTAAGCCAAGCACTATAGTCAATGTTTGTACTTATTTCATAATTCTATTTTTCTTTTAGATGTGACGAATGACAAATTTGAGATAAACTATCAGAATGGCCATGGCAATGCGTAAAAGAAGTGGCTCTGGTTCAAAGCGCCAGCACAAGGGAAAGCTTGTTCCAATTTATGAAAGTTTTTTTAAAGGAGAGGATCTGACATTAGCTCATCCAAACTTTTGGAATGAATTATTCCTTATCAAACCAATGGTCAGTCGGTATAGTATTTCTTATTGCATAAGATTCATATCATTTTCATTCTTATCATATTCTCTTACTATCTTTATTAATACTGTTCAACAATATGAAAAAGCAAAACTGCAAGACGCTCAAAATAAATTTCTAACAAGATGTAAGATTTTTATAAAGTTAGCAACTAGACAGGGAATATTCATTGTAGATCTGCAGAATATCTTCCTCGTTAAGAAGTTTCTATTCATTATTAATTGCGATTCAGCTGCAACAAAACAATATGATTTTGCTTTACATTATCGATAAAGTTTAATAGTTAATCGAATTATGATCAGTTTACTTTTTGCTTCTTTTCTGGTGTACTAGGATTTTTCTTTGACCTCTTTAATTTCTGCTTTTTACTATATTGCTCTTCCTGTCGTGGTTGTGTACATATGACTTTTCCTTCTTGCTGTCCTTGCTGTCTATCACAAGAAGATTGCTTGTCACTACTTTGTTTTTTCCTATTTGATGAAACCTTGCACTCGGCTGTTCGACATCCTCTTTCTACCGCTGATATATCGCATCCTTTATAGGTGCAGCTATTATTATTTGTGCTCCTTTCTCTGTCACAGGTCGCTCGGTGCTTCTTATTAACTGATCGAGACTGATGCTGATCTTTGTAGAATGATTCAGGAACCAATTTCATTTTTGTTCTGCTTTTTGCCTTCTTCGTTGGCTCATAATCCTGGTTTTTGGACGTTCCCCCTTTCTGTGTCTCATGTGGTCCTAGTTTTCCGGCTATCAGCCACAAAAATAAATGACAAAATATCATGTTCAATTCAGAAATTAATTACCGTAAGAACATACATTTATCATTGAACTGCTTATTAGTCTCTTCCGGAGGCGGGTCTTCGCATTCTGCATCGTCGCGCAGACTTCCTGGCATAAACTTACACTTAAAGTTGAACCAGGCCTCGCTAGTTTGCATTCGGTACTTTAAACATTTCAATTGAAATATACAGACTCGCCCATAATATTTAGTAACTTCCCATGTTGGCATTGACTAAGAATAATCGATTTAATATGTTACAGTTTATTTACTGTGTTTGATTAATGAAATTAGTTATACTGATAATACCTGGATGATTTTCGAAATAAGTTTTCCAACAACCATGGTACTGCTGGGACATGCGGTTTTATAATAATAGAATGAGTAAAGGTCGATGACCCCAATTTTAGAAATTTATAAAATTAACAGGCAGCTATGCGGAAACACCATGTTTAGGCGTTGTAATAAATCATTAATTTGCCGAAGGCTTGGATTAACTGAAATTTTTTTTTCAATTATGGTTTACCACCATTCATGGACTTCTCCTGTCAAATAAATGATATTCTAACAAGTGAACGATGGATCACGCACGTTGAATATCTCATATATGGGGAGAGCAAGTATGTTTTGATACAAAAGAATAATAAATTAGTGTAATTCTTTCACGACAGGTTCCTCACATTGAAAGTGAAATTTTGCGGATGACAACAGACCAGTTAAATGCCAGCAGAGAAAACCTAAATGCCTTAGTATGTCACTGTGTCGATACTCTCGTGGACGAGCATCCTTTTCGCGTGGTGTATGCCCTGCAAACTTTAGCTGCTGTTATACAATCGATGTACAAAAAAGCTAGTCAGGGTGACTGTGGTTTCAACCTAATAGACATTTTAGTGGGATTTGATTCTGCAGAGCAGAGAATGACGACTCTTATGCAGCACTGTAACAATTTCTTGACTGGTAAATATTTGAAAGTGAATATAGATAGAAATTCTTGGTAATGTATGTTCATTTCTTGATTTTTCTATTCCAGGAGAGTATCCAGATAGTTTAAAAGCTTTGTGCTTGAAACTTTTGCTTATTATTGTCACTGGAATGGATAATGTTAGCCAGAATACCTTACTGGAGTATGTGATGCTAAACAGTGTCTTTGAATCATTGGTGCAAGTAAGATTTAATTGCAGCACAGTAAATGGTATCACATTTATAATAATATTTTTCCTCTTCTGTTCTAGTTACTAAGAGACACTTCAGCAAGAAATCGACATGGACATGACGCAGTTTTGCTTTTGACACTTCTAGTCAATTACAGAAAACACGAAAGTGCTAATCCTTATATTGTCAAGCTTTCAATTTTGGATGATGAGCTAGCTTTAAATGGATATGGTCAAATAATATCGAGTTCATTGACAGATTTTTGCAGACAGTTTGCTCAACAAAGAGCAGGTATCGCAAACTGATTAAGAAATTAAAGACTATCTAAATAACATGTAGTAACGAATATTGTTATTTTAATGCCGTTGCAGAGGTTCAGGCATCCTGGCTATCCTCATTAACGAGCATAGTAGGAAATATGTTTGTTGGCGAGGAAGAAGCAAAAACGCAACAAATTCGAGCAAACAATGCTCTGCTATTGGCTTTATACGAGGCAACACATTTAAATAGAAATTTTGTGACTACTTTGGCCTATACTCAGAGTGATACCAGTGCACCACCTTCGCCTAATAATACTCTGGGTCCAAATGCAGTTGCACCAGGTGCTCAGCCACCTGATGTTATGGCACAGCCGTTTAATCTGCTTGCAACATTTTTCCAATATTGGTAATATCATTTTAATTTAAAAAAAAAACTGAATTATTGTCAATACATAATGCTTTTGTATGATTTCAGCTCGATAGTTATGCAAGTAATGAGGACAGAGGCGATAGTGAACAACGTTAAACTGTGCTTCCTGATACTTAGCTGCATTGCCGAAGACCAATATGCTAATAGCTTAATGCACGATGCAAATTTGGCTTTTAGAGTACAGTTGCATCGAGTTCCGATGCACCACAGGAAGTTGCAAGACAAATTTGCTCCTACTCAACCCCTAGCGGCTACCCTACTTGGTAAGTTTCATTATAATATTATTTAATGCAATGTAATATTTCATTGATATTATCATTCATATGTTCAGATCTACTGGTTGAATTTGTCACATCTCACATGATGAAAAAATTTCCACTGGAGTTATATCTCCAGTGTATAGGTGTACTCCAAAGGCTGCTTTGCTATCAAAAGAGGTGTAGAGTACGATTAGGATATCAATGGCGCGATTTATGGACAGCTCTGATCAATCTCTTAAAATTCTTAACTACTCATGAAAATCATTTGGTTAAGAAAATGAATATCTTTCCTCTCGCTATACAGGTAAATCCAATAGAATTCTAATTAACGTGTGTACGTCATAAATTTTCTACGAAGTTCATTTCTCAGGTTGTAAACATCCTGAATCTATTTATTACTTACGGAGATACCTTCCTATCTTCTCCAAGTAGTTACGACGAACTCTTCTATGAGATCATTAGAATGCGCCTTATCTTTACTAATCTTAATGCAATGGGTAAGTATCTTAAGTTATTTCATTGATTCTCTAAATACTTAGAACTTTGAGATATTTTTATTTACTTACTCGCAGATACTTAACTATATTTACTTACAGCTTTAAGATATTCCACGAGTGAATCCTACGAGTACAAGGAACACGCGCTTAAGCTCGCCAACTGTCTTGTCAATATGCGAGACATCGTGAATCATTTCCCACCAAAGATAGCTGAATGGCTAGCAAGTGAAAGTCTTTCGACTCCTACAGAACAGCAAATTTTGACAGTCATCATTCAAAATTATGACAGTCTAACGCTAAAGCTCCAGGATAATTTGGATCAATACGAAAGATACACAGAGAAACCAAAACATACATCATTCTTCGAAGAAATGGTAGGTCTATCAGTTATATCAAATTCCTATACTTATCTATGTAAAATCTTTCTAAGTATTGCTTCTTCAGGTTACCGGGGTAGTTATGGATACTCGTGGATCAATAGATCTAAGTGCTTTGGATACGCAAGCCATTCTGCAGGAGTTATCAAGTATTTCGTAACAATGGATGAAGACCGAAGCGTTCGATTCAATATGTACAATGTGTATTGTGACACCATTAATAATACTTGCTCGTATTTGTGCTTATATGCTGCAAAAAGAGTGTTTAGTGCCATGCTCGCGAGTTTTCGTAAATTATGTGACAGCGAGCGAGGATGGAATTTTGGATAGACTCTGTATTAACAAAATCGTGTTTTATATTCCCAATGTGCTGTGACATATGGTTTTTCCTCATCTAGGAGGAGCCAATTACTTATTTCGGGAAGATTCATCTATCTCCTTAAACTTTTGTATAATTACATAATTTGGACTACAATGTTCATTAAAGAAAGTATTGAGAAATTAAATGGTTTTGCGAAAATCCGACCAATATAAGATACGTCGTGGAGTATTGTAAATCGATGCAAGAGATTTGAGAGTAATAAAATAAATATTCAAATGATCGCTGGGCTAAGAGATGAACAATTTATAGTATATCATGGTATATTGTTGCACAATAATATCTGATGCACTATTTGAATATTATAATAGAAAACTACTGCTGTACAAGTATCGTAATATTGGAAATGTACAAAAAGAGTACTTCTGCATAAATGATTATAAACGCGTATGAAAATCCATCTGTCATAAAGTTATTTACACACCGATAGTAAATTTGTCAAAATCACGTAAAGTTCTTGCACCCAAAAGTCTTTGCAGTATCAATGCATCAAAATTAATAATAACACTATGCATAGTTTTTATGTTTCACACTTGCAAGCATAGCGACACCCACTTTTGATTTATTATCCCTACATAGTTCATTACTAATAAAGTCTCCAACTTGAACTACCTTCTCTAAATTGACTCCAGTTTCAAGTCCAAGACCTTGTAGTAGATAGAGTAAATCTTCAGTGGCAAGATTTCCAGATGCACCAGCTGCATAAGGACAACCACCAAGTCCTGCAACTGAAGAATCAAAGATTCTAATTCCCTTTTGGAGACTGGCAAACACATTAGCCAAAGCCTGTCCATATGTATCATGGCAGTGCATGGCAAAACGATCCATGTTCCCTGAAGAAATGTGCTCCAATTCTTTCAGAACAGCTTCAATTTTCCTAGGTGTTCCTACACCAATAGTATCACCAAGAGAAACTTCATAGCAACCAAGTTCCAAGAGGGCAGCTGTCAGATTGGCAACTACTAAGGGTTTTACATCTCCTTCGTAAGGACATCCTGCAATACAGGATATATAACCACGAACCTTCACATTATGCTCTTTGGATTTACCAACAACTAACGAGAATTTCTTGACACTTTCACTTATGGAACAGTTAATATTCTTTTGGGAAAATGCTTCGGATGCTGCTCCAAATATTGCTACTTCCTGGACGCCACTATTAAGTGCATTCTCTAGCCCTTTTAAGTTTGGTACAAGTACAGGGTACGCTACACCTGGTTGCTTTGTAATGTTTTTATACACCTCTGCATTATCAGACATCTGTGGAACCCATTTTGGTGACACAAAACTGGTAACTTCTATTGTTTGCAAACCAGTATCTGTGAGTTTATTGATAAAATCAATTTTTGTTGATGTAGGAACCACCTTTGGCTCATTTTGTAAACCATCCCGAGGCCCAACTTCGACGACTCTTACAAAATTATTGAAGCATCGTGTACTATTAATACGGGTGATAGAACGAGTAGAGAACATTCTTGAACGTATATAAAATATGTATCTTTATAGCTGCAAGAGAAACAAGAAAATAAATAATTGTAGTTTTATAGAAAATCGTATATCGAAGAACTCAAAAACATTCGTTAAAGAATGCAAAATAATTAAAAACCAATGTAAAAACCAATATTTTCTTTACCTCAGCTCTTAATAGTATACTTGTAGGAAAAGGATAGGATCTTTTCTAAATTTAATATCCACATCAACAATGTACATGCTATTAAATTCTGTAACAAATAAGATAATATTGCGTTATCTATCTATTACGTATTACAGTATATTGTGAAATAGCAGCAAATCATTGCTTGATTCTGTAAATAATCGAAATAGCGTCAATCAACGTGTAATACGTCATTAATACCGCGGAAATGATATCAATACAATATAAAATGAATCAAACTAATCGACTCTTTATTTGATTTCAGAAAAGAAATTATTGCAAGTCAAGACAGTTTCTTCTGTACATCTGATTTCTTTTTTCTTCCCGCGGATTATCCAGTTAATCATCGACTGTTTATTTTGAAATACTTGCGCTACAAGTAGCGATAACTGCTAACTAGGATCCACTTCCAACGCCCAACCAGAGATCAGGTTCAACCAGAGATGAGCAGAGTGATGCACAACGCTCCGGTTTTAGGCGATACCAAAATCATTGCGCTAAATCGTAGCGGCAAGTCTAGAAGTATGATTCTGTGATCAACGCCTCCGTCGACACAGCAAATCCCGTCTCCGGGATTTGCAGAGGTTCTCCGCTACTCACCGTTGGTTCCCAAAGCAACTCTTAGAACAAGACCGAGATGGCGTAATGAAGCGACACGCAGAAAGTAAAATTAAAGAAGAGACGAAAGTTCATATGTTGGACCAGAGATGAGCAGGGAGATACACAATGCTTCGGTTTTAGGCGATACCAAAATCATTGCGCTAAATCGTAGCGGCAAGTCTGGAAGTAGGATTCTGTGATCACGCCTCCGTCGACACTGCAAATCCCGTCGTAGCCGAGCTAAACGTGAACACGAACGCGTAGTTTGGCGGGCAGAGGTTCTCCGCTCCTCACCTTTGGTTCCCAAAGCAACCTTTAGAAAGAGACCGGGAACTATAGAACCTCTCAAGAACTATTGTTGAAACATTTTTAAGAAAGTGCAGTTCCAACTTGACACGTGTGTAGCACCTCGATTTTGACTAAATATTATTGGATCTTGATTTACTTTCAAAATTTATTCAAAATATAAAATTGAAGCTAAATAAAAATCTCGCAGAATATACGGAGCAGATAAAATTTGAATTGAAATTGTAGAATATCGAAAATAAATTACATTCAAATGGAAC